TGTGTGTGTGTGTGTGTGTGTGTGTGTGTGTGTGTGTATGTGTGTGTGTGTGCGTACGTGTGTGTGTTGTTTTTTCTTAGGGGGTGGGGTGGGAAGAGTACTATGTGCACCCAACTATAGCGAGACTAGTGTTTTTCCCTTCACAATTTGAGCATAAAGACACGGGCCATAATAGTGCACACGCTTTGCTACGAAGTTTTTGTAGAGAGTGGGAAAAAAAACCCAACAACCCGGCGGTCTAGGTTTACAAGTCTACGGTTAAAACTAGCGCCTACCCAGGATGAAAAGATCTATCTAAACATATTCTACAAACATTCAGGATCTAGTGGGGGAGGGGGGTATTTTTCTTTTTGTTGGATCTAAACATTGATTGATATGACGTGGGGGGCGAAAAAATGGAAACTAGGGAGCTGGACAGACAAAATAGTGAATAGAGAGGAAATTTGCAACACCCACGCCAGAACGGTTGTGGTGTATACATTACACCCCGAGAGCAGGGGAGTTGGGTTCCTCCCACCCTCACACACACACACACACACACACACACACACACACACACACACACATACACACACACAAACACACACATACACACATACACTCACACATACACACACATACACACACACACAAACAAACACACATACACTCACACATACACACACATACACACATACTCACACATACGCGTGAGTGAGAACGCCCTTTATGATGTTACTCTATTGAGTAAAGACACATCGAGAGGGAGAAAAGGACAGAAAGAGATTTTGTACTTGTGGGTTAGTTTGGTGTATACCTGTCTCCTCCATATAGTCTAATGGGTTATGTATATGTCTATGATACCAAATAAAAAAAAAAAAAAGATCTAGACTTCACACAGAGAGAGACAGAGAGAGAGAGAGAGAGAGAGAGAGAGAGAGAGAGAGAGAGAGAGAGAGAGAGAGAGAGAGAGAAATAACAAGTTCAGTGCTCTGCTTATAGAGGTATCTGTTTAAGTTATGCAAAACAAGGAGCCACAAATCAGCAGATAAGAAAGACATTTAGGTCTTGTATTCCAGCGAGTGTCAGTAAGCTGGCCATGCACGGGACAATATTTATTGCCTTTTACAAAGTAGAACGGTACTTCTGTTGTGATTTTGAAGTGGGAGTATCTGAGAGAGGGGTCGGTAGACTTGTTTGTGCTACCGGATTCGTAGGCCTAATCATGAGATGCGGGTTCAGGGCTTCGAGGCTTACCTCTGTCTGACATTGTGTTCTAAGGGAAAGCACTTTATTTTTAAATTCTTTTTTGAAAGAGAGAGAGAGAGAGATGGAGAGAGAGAGAGATGGAGAGAGAGAGAGAGAGAGAGAGAGAGAGAGAGAGAGAGAGAGAGAGAGAGAAGCAAGCATGTGAAGCCAGCAGGACAGACAGATCCGGTTGGATAGTGACGAGGGAAGAAAAGGGGGTGAGGGGGGGGTGGTGGTGAGCTGTTTAAGCCCTTTTGTTGTTGTTGTTGTTGTTGTTGTTGAAGTTGTTGTTGCTGCTGCTGCTTTTAAAGGCATCGGATATCATAATGAAGAAAGAAAAGTTAAAGAGCAAAGAACTGCCTTCAGCAACCAACACGGTGTGTTATTATTTGATATAGCTAATGTATCATTTATTATGAATGTCACAGTAAAATAATAATTCTGATAAGAATTAACAACGTCGTTTTTCCTTTTCTTTCATTATCACATTAGAAGCTGGTTAACAATTCCTGACAATTATTAGCCAAACCATTTTGCAGGGGCAAACGCCGATGGCATGTTCGTTCTCATCAGAATCAGTAACCTTGTCTGTTCTTTTATTAGATTAGATGCAAAATACCCATTCTCATCACCCTATAATGTGACATTGTACCCCCTCAGGTGGTAACGAGGATGGCAAATTTGTCGTCGATTACCGTACCTGTGACCTTGTGCTGGTCTCCCCACTGGACTACGAGAACACCCAACAGTACACCTTGACCTTGAGAGTGTATGACCTTGACCCCATAAATCCTCTTTCATCGACCTTTGATCTGACTATTGACGTCACAGATGTCAACGACAACGACCCGGTATGTCAGCGTTAAGCTATAAATTGTGATAGAAATTGAAAGTAGGATACTACATACTTTATAGCATCATCATCATCATCATCATCATCATCATCATCATCATCATCATCATCATCATTATCACCAACAAAATAGACCATATTTATGATAAGCCCTTACAATTTAACACTTTTGAATTAATGCTCACAGCTATCTTGTAAGAATTATACAACACACAGTTCCACACTTTGATCTTTGTGTGTGTTTGTCTATTTTAACTGTTCGTCTGTCTGTCTGTCATTCTTTTCCTCTGTTTCTCTCTCTCTCTCTCTCTCTCTCTCTCTCTCTCTCTCTCTCTCTCTCTCTCTCTCTCTCTCTCTCTCTCTCTCTCTCTCTCTCTCTCTCTCTCTCTCTGTCGCTCTGGCTATGGGTTCTCTCAAAGTGCTCTGGCAATAACCTATGTCTGCAGCACGCAGGGTGT